TGTGAACTGTGTATATGTATTATTTATATATAAATACACACACATGCATGTATATATTTCAGAAAAATGTTGTTTGTATATTAAATATATTTATATATAATATAAATTATATGAATATAAATATATACATGTAAATATTTATATAATATAAAATATTATAAAATATTTATATATATATATTATATAATCTCAAGAAATGTAGTTTAGGGAACATACATTATGATGAAACGAAATATTATATCAAACAGTATTGCCTCTTTTCATTTTCATTTTAACATCTTAATAGAATAATAGAATAATAGAATAAAGACCAGATTTACCCAAAACGAATTATATCTTATATTTAACCACTACAGAGACATCAGAGCCAGCGGCAAATGTCAGAAGGACTAGCCGAGTTGAGGCTGCTCTCGTCAGGAAACATGAGCACTGAGCGCCCGGTGAGAGCTCACGTCTCCGAAATCGGCAAAGCATTTCAAATAGGCGCTGTCTTTAAAAATAAACATACATTCTCGCCTGAAATACTTTTAAATGTAATTTCATGACACAATAACAGTAATATTTTTTTAAAATTGTGGAAATAAAAATTTAATTTCAAGTGGTTGAAATACAATGTTGCGTGAACTCAACCAATCAGCATGTTCAGCGCCCAAGTCCCGCCCCCAAAAGTTCCGGACCTTTGGAAAAGTAGAGCAGGGACTTTCTGAGGGGCAAATTTTGCATTTGAATTTATGTGGTGGAACTGAAAATTGCCTGCCAAATGAATTCTGATAACTGATTCTAAGCACATCCTTTAAAATCAGCTTATTGCATTATTTAATGTTGCAAAACACAGAGATAAGTTCAGATTGCTGAAAAAAGTCCTTAAGTCATGTTAACGTAGAGCAATGCGATGTGCAATGTGCACAGCGATGCCATGAAATGATAAAAGATGTGCATTAATTACCATTGATTTCACCATCGTTCACATGCTTGTGACTCACAAATATTATGGCTTTTGATGCAAAACCACCTTAGGGTGCTCTCTCAAGAAAACAGCAACCACACTTAAACACGCCTCCTCCTGAGATGTTTACCGGGTTCTTTGTGCTTTATATGTTTTGGTGTGAAATGTGGGGCAATGCAAAGTCAGCCAAACAAAGAAGTGAAAGCCCAAATAGGGTGCCAGGCAGAGTTTCTCTCAGAGTGACACTGGCCCCCAAACAGCAGAGAACTTCAGAGAAACCACTGAGGTCTGAATTACAGGCAAGACTCATAACAGCAGAGATCCTGAAGACCTGCACTCAGAGGTGAGTCAACACACATATTATTGAATTTGAAACTTTCCAGGGTTTCAGATGCCCGCACACACACCAAGTTTAATGATAGATAGATAGATAGATAGATAGATTGTAATTGAGATTGTAATAAAAAGATGCTCTCATTCCTGCATTAATATCTGTGAATTACGTTAAAAATAAAATGCTTTATTTTTTGCAGACATAATATAAAATTTTCATAGTATTTTCACTGCAAACACTTGATAACAGTGGATATTAATGTAATATATTTCTATAATCATGTCTACAATATTTTAAATACTAGTGTTTTTTTAATAAAAATGTATTTTTTATATATATGCAGCAGGTGAGTAAATATGATTTATTCCACATTTTCAGGCTTAACACCTCACCAATCTTTCATCAAAAGTAGTATTTATATAATTTTTCTTTGCTGAAAAAGCTTTTATTTCATATAAATTATATTTAATATAAATTACGAGATATCAATGCAGAAAGTTTGCTAAGACAATTTATTATCATTAATAAAAAAATAAAAAAATAAACAAACATTGTCCCAAGAAACCAAACTGCAAATAAACATATAAGTTTACCTGGTGTGTAAACATTAAAGAAATGGTAACATCTAAATTAACTGGTTTTATTCATGTAAAAAATATAATTTAACATTACTGAACCAATCTACATCGATTTATCCCACAAAACAAAATGTTTTGTGTTATGTGTTAAATCAGGTAGAGATAACAATAGTAGGTCACCACTCTTTACAGTGCTAATTAAAGGGTTAATAATAATAACTTTAATTATAGAGCAAAAAATATCAAGAAAATATAAAAAATATGACAAATAAAAATACATAAACTGATCAATTATCACACAAAACAAACAAACAACAAAAGCCGTTGTATTCCGATACGAATGTGATTGTTTTGAAATATTAAAATTAAATTTTTCTGTCTCGTTTTTTTCCGTTGTTGCAAATGATAAAATCTATCGTGTTTTAGTTCATATTAAATATATATATTTTTATTTATTTATTTAGTCATTTAGCAGACGCTTTTATCCAAAGCGACTTACAAATGAGGACAACAGAAGCAATCAATTGTAGTATTAAAACAACTAAAAACAGATCCAAAACTAAAAGCTAAAACTTTATAAATACTACTTATACACATTTTAAAAATAAAGAAATTAAATAAAAATGACAAATGCATACAACAAAATTTCAAAACTTAACATTTAAATGAAAAACAAAAAATAAAGCTAAAAACAATTCAAAATATTAAAGAACAAAAGGTATGAGTATAATAATGATTCTAACATAACACTAAGCCAAACACCAAAAAAAAAAAATATATATATATATATATATATTGAATTTGATAAACGTTTGATAGCTTACGGTTGATTCTGAAGCAGACTCGCCAGTAGCTTAAACATGTGATGCAGTCCCGAGTTTCATTGTCACCATCAACATTATCCTCTTCCTTCTCACAACTAGAGAGTCGCACAGAAGCCCGTTTCTCCACAAAAACATTATAAAAAGAGATCTCCCTTCAGTCTGCTCTTCTAGCTTCACTTCTGCTCAAATAAAGACCCCGTTCCTCATGAAAGCGTTTTAAAGCGCGTTGGCACGCGATGCTGACTGAAAGCGCGAACTGGCTGTCAGATTGACGCCAACGACTGTTTGACTGTGGCACGCAATGAGTATTAGAATGAGTACAATTTCATCCTAGACGTTATTTAAAGATTTTTAACAGAGATATTTCGTGCTCTCATTCACCACAAAACACACCTGAAACTAAAGGTGACATTTCTTAAGAGACGCATCTGGCAGCCCCGAGGCGCGAGTTACTATAGTTACTGTGTTTGTTATTGTGACACGCGAGACTTTCCGATCTTATGTTTTTCTAGCAGGATTACGCATTTTAGGGAAAGTCTTTACTATGAAATGTTACCTAATGTATGCTACTCGGCCACTATTAGATGTTTAATTTTAAATTAAATCCAATTTAATTTGTTTGCTTGACAGGTTAATTAATCACGAACCCAAAAATTATTTTGAAAATAGCACATGTAGCTGAGCGTCACAAATACGCATCACTGCGTGCCACAACATATGCACACACAAAAACTAAAACTAAAATATATTTGTAATAAAAAAAAAAAAATAATAAAATATATATTTTAAAAAATCCAAGTTCAAAAACTCTGAATAAGATCAAATAAATATAGGCATGTGTACACCTGAAACTATTTTAGGCCTAATTGTAAGTAAGTATAAAAATTATATTATAAAAAGCTAGCTTGTTAAAAGTAGTTATTCGTGACACGGAGATCAAACTGCTTGTTGCATTAAACTATAAACTGCGTCACAAACAACACCACAACTTTCTTAAGGGAAATATCACTAACTAAAAAACTCATAAGCCTGAAGCCTCAATGAAACACGACAAGGATTTAAAAAAAATAAATAAATCAACTAACGCATCATTTTAAGAGAAAAAAACTCATCCCGACCATTAGACATTAAGCTATTATTACGTGACAAAAATCAACAAGCTAAAAAAATGGCAACTAGTCAAACAATGCAAACCCCAATGAATCCCAAAACAATTTTTAATGTAAGCTTTGTTAAAACAATGCATAAATACAATTGACATAAATGCTGGTTCAATTAAAAAAATGCTAACAGCTGCACTGTAAAAGATGTGTTTAGGAATAGTTGTTAAACTAAAAATCCACAATAATCGACTAAATCTTTGGTTATTTTTCGGCATTATTTATTTAATATAAGAATTTAAGTTGCAACCCTTAGCAAGCGATTAATTAGATTTTTTCTGCTTCAATCACTACACAAGGAAACCGCTGACTCCTGCCTTAATCCCACACGTGAAATTATGAACGGCATGACTCATTTAGTAAACTAAGCAGGACTGGTTGATTAAAATTTTACGAAAAATGTGTAATTGTTTGATCAGATAATTGTTTGCACTTTGGTGTTTTTAGCATCTTCTACACCTTATATAAATCTAAACATTCTCAGTTTAGAGATTAGTATTAGTCACATGAAGCGACTCTCAATAGCGCCCCTAGTGGTGGAAAACTGCAACAACACAACAGCACTGACGTCACTTTAACCCTGTGACGTCTTACAGAAAAAAAAACAGAAAAATCGATTTTTACAACAACAAAAAAGTTATATTGACCCTTTATACAAAATCTAAATATAAAACAATTACATGTTTTTTATGTTCTGTATCATATTTGGCTTTTATGGCCCATATAGTATGATACTGTATATTGAGAATATGGGAAAACATATCAGTTTTTTTTTTCAGAAGATCAAACTAAGCAAAAATATGCATTTTGGTTTAGTTATTATTTATATGGGCAAAACGTAAGATGAATTAAGATCAACTATACTAGCCTTTTACTTGCTTAAGATGATGAACTATCAATTAAAACAAAGAAGGCATGGAGTAGATTGTGTATAACAGGGTTTTTGGGAAGGTTTTGATCATGTTGGTCATTTAGAGGACTTAGAAATTCATGCATCAAAGATGATAACCTGATGAACGGTTTCTGCCATGTTTTACAGGTATGGAGCGCTTTGATTCAACTACAGAAGATTTAGCATCGCTTTTAGGTTCCACTTATGATTATGATTTCAATGACACTGATATGGATTCTGTCACCGAGGCCAACGTTACTGACGTTGAGGAGCTGTGTGTACCCAGCAGAGAACAGGAGCTGACCATTACTGCTGTCCAGACCACGGTCTTCCTCATCGTCTTCTTCTTAGGTGTAATTGGTAACGGGCTGGTCATTGCCACCTTCGCACGATACCGCCGTGTACGTCTACGCTGCATGACCGACGTCTTCCTGTTCTACCTGGCTCTGTCCGACATGCTGCTTCTGCTGACTCTTCCCTTACAGACGGGAGAGACACTGATCGGCAGCTGGGAGTTCGGAGAGGGGCTGTGCAAGCTAAACCGCGGTATGTACGCCATCAACACCTACGGCGGCCTGCTGTTGTTGGCTTGCATTAGCGTTGATCGCTATTTGGTGGTGGTTCGCACCAGGGCCGTGCGGAAGAGGAGTTCTGGGACTCTGTTTTACAGCATGCTGTCTGCGGTTGGCGTCGCAGTAACTTCTGTCTTCCTGAGCCTGCCAGACTTGCTCTTCAGCTCCGTGGAGAACGACATGGGTTCAGACGTCTTCTTGTGCGATATGAACGTTTGGGGCGATGAAGTGAGTAAATGGAAGCTGTGGGCCCAGATGGCAAAGATCGCAGGATTCTGCATCCCTTGCGTGGCGATGGTGGTGTGTTACGGCGCGATCGGACGCGTCTTGATCCGTGCCGGTGGCAAATGTTGGCGCAGACAGAGGACTTTGCGCCTGATGGCACTTCTCGTGGTTCTTTTCCTCCTGTTCCAGCTTCCTTACACTGTGGTGCTTCTGATTAAAATATTCACACCCACTCAGAAACACTGCGAAGACTGGACCAAGTTCCACCTTCAGGAAAACATAACGCGCAATCTGGCCTACGTGAGGTGCTGCCTGAACCCTTTGCTCTACGCACTTGTTGGCGTCAGATTCAGAAACGACATTATCAGGCTGTTGATGGACACCGGGTGCGTGTGCGCGTGTGTGTCCTATATAACACCACAGCATGACAACGGAAGCTCCGTCACACCATCGTCTCCAGCTCCAACCATACTTTCACCCTTCCCATCTTCTTACCTGTCTGCCAAGAAAACACCTGCCCTGGACACACCCGCCGCAGACACAGCTGACACATTCATTTTTCCAACACCTATATCTGGAAAAATTACTTCAGTTATAAGCTGGTGTCATCAATAAATGCACATTAGATTATCAGAAATAAATAATTTCTAATTTTAAAGGTAATAAGTATAGAAACCCATTTACTGTATGCCAAAAGAAAAAAAAAAATCATGCTTTGGTAAAACAATTATGAGATTAAAAATTTCATAATTATAAAATAAAAGTCAAAATGTTAATATAAAAGATTATGAGATTAAAAATCAAAATTACAAGAAAGTTTTGACTGTTGTAAGTTAGATTTTTTTGTTTTGTTTTAGTTTTATATCAATATTTTGGACTTCCAATAGATAAGAGACAAAACTGCATGTACACAAAAGCCGTATACAGCTGTATATACAATCAGCAGCATAAAGAATAGTCTATGATTCCTAGGAATATTAATTTCTAAACAATTTTAGTACACTTAGACTAAGAATATTATATATATATATATATATATATTAGACATATGCTGTAAGTAAATTATGCACACATTTTTTATGCTCACATTTTTTACAATTACAATTATTTTGTTCTATATGTATGTGTTATTCTCTGCTATTTTAATTTTTCAATTTCTGTACCCTCATTTTACCTGTATTACTGCTACTGGCAAAACTGCAAAATAAAGATTATTTTTCTGTATAAATGATGCAATTTTATAATTTTAAAACGATGGGTAGAATTGAATGGAAATCGATGGAAATACATTTCTTTCAGCATTTAATTCTTGTTAGTTGCCTATTTTTGAAGTATGTAAAACACTGAAGCAGGTCTTTATTAACATGTTGGCGCCACCTTGTGGTCAAATCTGATTTCATAGGTAAAAAATGGACAGATAAACATTGGGATAAACTCATTTAAATGACAACACATATAATAATAGACTGAACATAATAGATAAGTAGTTTGTACTGTACTTAAGAAACACTTTCAAGCATTTTTGCACTACAATATTTATTAAGGCTGAAAAGATATCAGTGAATTTTGCCGCAGCAATTTTCAATCGACCATAACTTTGCCATCGACGGTGTGTCAGCAATAGGACAATATTCACAGTTTCTGTACTCATTCAGATGGCAAGAGGAGCCTAACTGAAAGGTTTTTCCTCTTCATTTTCCTCTTCAAATGTAGTCGGTCCCTATGTTGCAAGAGCGACCGTAAACTCATTAAAAAAAAATCTACGAGTTACAAAACATCGAGGCGGATTAAATGTTCTCTTGTACATTATAAGCCAATTTATTTGACATTATTGACTTATCGTTAAGATTCAGTTTATTTTTAAGGTTACATTTTAAACAAATAAGCCTATCACGTCAAGCCAACTTTGTTGCAGTAGCCTATGTTACAGTTTGTTTCTAAAGCAATCAGGGGCGTCATGCACTCATTTTTTTTTTTTTTTTTTTAGAAAAGACATGGGAATCAAATTAATACCTTAA